AGTGCTCACCTTCTTAAAATACTTCTAAGCTTCACTTTGCCTGCACCGAAAAACAGAGGGTCTACTTCCTGTAGTTTGGGCTCTGTATCCATATTTAATCATTCTTGCTGCATTTGAATCTCAGGAGAGTTTGTCTTTCAATACCCAGGTGGTCACTTTGCTACAACCTGTTTTCCCTTTGGCACCTTTTGGGTTTTTTTTATTCATAGCTGCTACCTTTCTTTCGTTACTGAATCAGAAAGAAGCACTACCAGTCAGAGCAATGGCCCTCCATTTCTGAATGATGATTTGTCCTCTTTGAGAGCTCATTGTGAATACATTGATTTGTACTTGTAGATATCAGGGTTGATTCTGTCTATATGGTTTGGCCCAGATGTCTCTGACTACAGAGAACATTCAATAAGATTATTGTCTGATGAACTGTTCCTGTGCCTATATTAATTTCTCAAATACATTTGAAAATTTCAGAGAAATCAAGGCTGACTTCTCAGAAGTAGTTCAAGTAGGAAGCCTTGATAAAGGTGAAACCAGCTAGCTTGTAAAAGGCAGCTGGGGGGACCTTATAATACCCAGGCTGTCCAAACATGCTCTTTTGACTCTTTACCAACACATTCATTGAATTCTGCAAACCTTAGAGGGCAAATACTTCCATTTCTAAATCACAGCTACAAGGAGGGCTGTGGAATTCTAATGTCTAAATACAACGGAATATTTTCAAGCACAACACAAATACTGATTTAAAACACAACAAAACAAAACAAAAAAAAAACTTGCAAAAAACCACAATACTATGCTGATATCATAAAGATTCATAATCAGTAATATCTGCTTCTAAACAAGCCAAGTCAAAAGAGTTGGTTTTTGTCTTGCAAATAGGGTGTTTGAAAGGATATTTAGGTCTCTGATGTCCCTAGTTTTTCCCTGCAGTGAAGTCCAATTCTAGTCAGCATACGCCTCCTTGGGTACACACTGCACACTCGTCCTATGATGTTTCCCAGTGAGGTGCTGCAGACTGGCAGTGTGTCTTGCTTGGATGCTGATGCCTTTTCTGAGCATCTGAAGTTTTTCCAGTATAAATAAAACTCGGGACTGATGGCTCATCAGGCTAATGTATGTGTGAGTGTTCAAAACTGTAAATGCTTTGGTTGTGCATTTTGTTAGTTTGGCTGGGAGGCAGTTTCTGAGCAAGCTGAGTTCTAAAGGTCAGTGCTGTTGCTTCCCAAACTCCATGCTCTGGTAGCTGCTATTGCACCTCTCTTCTGGCTGGAAGCCCCTCACTCTCAATCTGGTCGTTCTGAACTCCAGACATCCATGGGGTCATGGTAGGTGCTCAATAGCTGGTTATTGGTAGGGGCTGATAAGAAAGACTGAAGAATGATTTGTGATACAAAATGTTGGGAGCTGCTCTGTTAAGCAGCCTGGAGAACAAGTTCAGGGAACCCTGGGGTGGAAGGCTTGGCATATGCCAGAGACTGTAATTTATTTCTAGCCAAGAGTTTGTAGGTGAGATGATGCTACTCTGTATGGACAGTTGCCTGGAGCCTTCTGATGTGGCAAGGTGTTATTTTATATGGCAACGTTTAAAGCTTTCTGAAATTGTGTGTTGATACTCTGTGTATTGTGGCCATCTCGACTGTGGCATGTGCTACATTAATTACCCTTTACAGATTTTGGGCATATGTGTGAAATGTCCTTCTTAGAGAAGCTTTCAAAATTTTCCAATTTTTTTACTTCCACAATTTGTTTTACTTGGTCAAAATTGTCAGTTCATGGTCTATAGAAGAGCTGTTTGCTGTACTGAGTATGGCTCCTACAGTGTGTAAGAAAAAATGGGTGCAAGGCTGTGGGGGGACAATCTCCCTGCCTGTTGTTTACCCAGGGTGTCCTGGCATCTTCCAGTGCTGCTCTTGCCCTTGTCATCTGCAGGAGTTCAGGCGCTTGCAACAATGGATTGGCCAATTCAGTGCTTCACTGCATGAAGTGCACAAGTGAAACTCTGGCCACCCCCATCACTCGCCAGAAGGCTGAAATGATTGTGCTGACATTGCTTTTCACACTGTTTGGAGCCCTTTCCTCTCACTTGTAGGGATTTTCACATGTGACCTGAAGGATGAGGTGACTGTAGAGGTTTACATGATGTATGAATTGTTCACTTAGATGCCACAAACCAACCATGATCTTTTGCAACTTGGTAACAGCAAGGCACAAACCATTCATTGGAAGATGGATTAGTCCTCATACACTACATGAGTACAGTAAAAGAATAACTATAAAGAGAGGTCAGATGTTGAGTGTCAGAAGTAGAGCATGAGATTTTGTAATATGAAGGCTGAGGTCAGTATTCTGAGATTTCTGAGCAGAGATAGCCCCAATATTTACAGGACCCATACAAGTGGGTAGTTTCATCCTGCCAGGCCTCCAACTCTCTTGCTCCTGCTTGGGTGTTTTTTATTTTATTTATTTTTTTTTTTCCCCAAAGTAGCCATTTAAACTAATGCTCTTAGTTTTATAAGTCCCAGTAGGGTCAGCATGCTGGATGCTCTTGAATGTGCCTGCTGTCTCTTGGGTAGTTGTTTGTTTTGCATGGACACATCTACCACCTGGGAGCTCTGAGTTTTAAAAGGTGTTAGAGTTGTTATTCCTCAGGTATCATGTAGCAATATGCTTGAATACATGTTTCTGAAAGTTTGGAGTAGTTATAATCAGGTTTCTGACTTCCAAAGTTCTTTTTTAAAAGTTTTTAAATCCCCACTCTAATGGTGTCTGTATTTCTTACAGTTTACATTTATTTGTTATGCATTTAAAGTCTTTGAGAATGGTTGTTTTGCAGTATAGTCTAATTAGAATACATATATTTGGTGGAATATGCAGGTTAGTACAATTGTGATGTGAATTTTAGGTCTTGTAGTTGTTTGCAGACCTCTTTAATGATTCAGCTTTCTGTAGTGTGACACTTCCCAATATGATGGCTTCCTTACATGCAAATATTTTTTAGAATGAAATCTCATATTACACCAAATCTAAAAAATTACGCACTTGCAAGCATGTGCATAATTTTTAGTGGCAGACCCGGTATCTGACAGAAAGATATGACCCTGCTGACCTGAGTTTCTCATGCCACAACATTCTCTGTTGTACAAGATGGAATAACTCAAATGAACATTTGATCTTATGAATTTAATAGGTGGTCATTTCCTCTGAATTTAAAGTTGGTTGGTCCATCAGGTGTTGTAGCTGAAAAATGTAATAGTGCCTGTACACAGAATATTTCTATTGAGTGTGCTGCAGAGGACTGCCTTCTTTCAGGACAGATACTTGTAGTGATGTTCTGGTAGTCACTGTGCTGTTTTTGCATACTAATTAATGAGCTCAGGAAGCATTAAACTCTAGAAATCCTCAGCTATCTTCTGGAGAACAAATTTGATCTTTGATACTCAGGGGAGAAACTTCAGGAGCATAAATCCTTAAGTGTCTCTGCCAAGCATTTTGATTACTACTTATACATGTTTTGTAGGTCTGGTGTTTAAAAGACATTCTTTAAGATATGCAATGCTTAATAAAGGCCCTTTTGGATTAATTCACTGTGGTATTTTTGCACAAAGCTGCATGGCATGGAAGCAGTGAAACATGCATTGTGCTTGTTTTATCAGGGGATCACGATTTACTAGCCACTACAGGAAAGAAAGTATTTGTTTTGCTGTGATGCATTCTTGTATCAGTGGCAAGTATTTGCTGGTTTTATGTTAAGGGTGCCTTCCCTTTCAGACTATTTTTCAGGAATGAAGTTACAGGATGCTTAACTTACTTTTCAACATAGTAATTTATTTTGGCTTTGTGTGCTCAGGCTAAAATATCCACACTGCTAACAGCTTCGGTCTCAGTGATGGAGGCAGGTATTGATCAGGTTAATTTTGGTGTCTCCATGGCCTTGGAGAATCAAAGGTGCTAACGGGTTGCTGTGTGATGCAAAGCAGATCAACAAGGTTCAGGGCTTCACACTAGTTTGTCCTGCTCAGAAAAACATGTTATCTATGGCAACAACGGCTACTGAGAAAAAAGTGGAGATTTTTTAATAGGGTAAATCACCCATTTTGAAGACTTCTGAGTTTCAGATGCCAGCTGTTGGGAGGTGGGGGCATAGGAGGGAAAAGGCTGATGTGGGCTGGACTTACTGGCATTGTTATTGTTGTATCTGTGCTATGACGTGATGAAAGACAAACCAGAGTATTCCAAGGCACTCAGAAGAGGGGATGAGAAGAAAAGAGAGTATGTGGCATTCAGCTGGTGCAGAGCCTGCTGCCCCAGCCCTGGGGCAGGAGGGAGGTGGCTATGGCCCCAGATGCTACAGCCAGTCTAAGACCTGCTGAACTCATCACAGCTTGAGGATATATGACACATTGGGTTTCAGTGCCTCAGCTTCTGGCTGTGTAAAACCAAGGTGCAAAGCTGCACCTGCTGGGGCCAGTGTCCACAGTGGGAGCAACTTGATTCTCCTACCAAGACCAGAGAGGGACACCATGCTCCTAGGGGGTACCAGACCCTCCTTGCCTGCTGGAGACAATCCCATGTGGGATTCCGGGGGCAGTGGCCAGTATGCCCCATGCCAGGCTGGGATGATGGTGGAGCTGCCAGTGACAGGGGTGAGCAGTCGGGCTGGGTGACAGGGGCTTGGTTGGGCTCCCGGCACAGCGGTGAAGGTGTGCCAGGCCTCCCTCCCAGCCCCTGATGGAGGCACTCGTGCTGGCCGCCCCTTCACTTCCTGACTCCCGGGGTGCTCTCCTTCCCCACACCCGGACAGGGCTCCTGCCTGGGCATATTGGCCGCCTGCACATGAGCGAGACGCCGGGACCGAAGCTGCGGGCGTTTGCATAGTCAACAGGCACATGCGAGCAATGTGCCTTTAAGACTAGCAGGAGAGCAGTAGTATCTCCCTCCCTCCTGTTAATTGTAGCATGTTTTCAGCCATGCTTCCCAGTCACATTCGCAGGCTGTGAGAGGGAGCAGCGCTGCCGCTCGCCGAGCGGGTGCCCGCGGGTGCCGAGTGCCGCCCGAGCAGCGCTGCGCCCGCGGGCGATGGGGCAGCGCCCGGCACCGCAGAGCCCCGTGCCCCGAGCCCGGCCTGCCTGACTCTGGGTCACTCGTGCTCGTCTCGTGTCCCTCAGCTCCTCGCCCCCGGGCCGTGGCCTCCAGCCGCGGGGTCAGACCTCTGGCCGCCCCACCCTGGCCGGGGCTCCTGCGTGAGCCGCGAGCGGTGCTCCGCTGGAGCCTGGGCATCTGCAGCGGGTGATGCAGTGGGAGCCGTGTGGTGCCTGGCCGGGGATGCTGTGGGAATGCTTGGCTCTCTGAGCACAAAGTGACTGCAACTAGCACGAGCCTGGGACTACTTCTCAGAAGATGCCCTGCGTGTCTCCAGTCATTCCTCTCCGGCCTCACCGCAGAATATTTGGAGTTGCTAGCTTTCTTCTGCCGAGGGGGGACAAAGGCAGAGGCCTCCAGAGGGTTAAGAGCATCTGCTTTTACGCCAAGTGTTTGAGCAGGAAATAATCTGCAGAGATACATGTGCAGCAATTCAACTGCTGCTGCTCTCTCAGGCTGCTGCTGCAGTTCGGTGTGTGAGAGGAGCCGTGCTGCTCACAGAAGATGCTTTCTTGGTGTGCCCGAATCTCCAGGCATGGCAGCAGAGCCCCGGCTGTCTGAGCTGGGGTAAATGTCTCCATCCAAGAGGAATTATGTTGACTTGCTGTCTCTGTCGGCTCACGGAGGTAGGTGCTGTTGCCTGTGCAATATGCCATGATCTATTGCGAGGGGATACAGTCCTCTTCGCAGTCTGGGATATAAAATTTTTAAAAATTTTCCATGGGAACAGGGCTTAATTTGCAATCTATAACGCCAGACAGAAAATGTATGTGATTTCTTTGTGTGCACCAGGGAGGAGAGGGCAAAGGATACCTGAATGATACCTTTTCTGATTGGCAATAAAGTTGTTGCACGTAATTTAAACAAACTACCCTCTGTTTCAGCGAAATGCACCTGGGAGCTTTTACTTCTTCCTCCTATATGACCTTTCGGTGAGGTTGGCTGCAGTATGCTGGGTTATACTTTGGTTCAGAAACTGGGACACAGTGCACTCTACAGGTCCCTTCATTCTGCTCCTGTGGACATGGGGAGGACAGAGGGCACCCACACAGAGAGGGAAAATGCTGCTGACAGGAAGCTGGTGTTTTTTTGAGGAGTGAAATTACACTAAGAGGAAGAAAAAAGGTGATCTTCCCTGTGGAAGAGGGAATGTTGAAGTCCTTAAAGGTTGATCTTGATGTTCAGAAGTAGAGAAGGAAATTTGTTCTAGAAGCAGCAGTGTATGAGTCTGGGATTTGTGTTTTGCTTTCCCAGCCCTGTGAAGAGGAATTTTGTTCAACTCTAACTACTTTACCACCCAGAATCTTTGCTTGAGGATTTTTTGCACCAGTAACTGGGAGAATAAAAATCTGTCAGTGCCATCAAATTTACTTAGGCTTGTTTTGAAAGTTGCCTTCTTGAGAAATCCCTAACAAAATCAACAGCAGCTGATACTGTTACCTTCTCACCACCAAGGCATGCTCTTCTTGGTTTGTCTTGAGATCTCCAGTGTGAGTTTTATTCTGTAAAGATTAAGCTGAAATGAAAGTTTCCATTTTTCTGGAAAAGCAGAGCGTTGGGCATTGGATACCTCTTTGATTTTGTTGGCCTGGTTGACCCACATATGTAGGTTTGCCTGTTGGCTCCTGAGTGCAGACCCTGACAAGGAAGCCTGGCTGTGCAGAAGAGGAAGGTGCTGCCTGGATTATGCACCTGCATCACGTGTAGAGTGGTTTGTGTTTGTTTCTGGCATTGCAGAGCTATTGATACAGCACAGCCAACAGTGCCATTGCTGTGTAACAGTTTCAGAAGTGTTTCTGTGGCACCTTGGCAGAACAAATGTGTCATTCATGACTGCACTCTTCAGGAAAAAGAGCAGCACTGTCATCTGCACTGTAAATCACTTCAGTCACTTTTGTTTTCTTTGCTCAGGTAGCAACACATTCTTAACCAGAACGTGTTGCTACCTGAGCATTTTTGTCAGAGCATTTGTAATTGCCGCCTCAGTTTCCCCAGGGCTGCTGTGCTGTGTATCTCATAAGGAAGTCTGGAGTAGAATTCCGCCCCCTCCTTTTTTTTTTTTTTTTTTTTTTTTTTTTTTTTTTTTTTTTTTTTTTTTTTTTTTTTTTTTTTTTTTTTTTTTTTTTTTTTTTTTTTTTT